CGCCTGCCTGCCTCTCTCAGCCTCCATGGTCTTGGGGCAAGCTGGACTCCCTATTTGAAATTCATCTGCTGCGCTGTGGCAGATTGATATCTGTCGCATTGGGGAGGACAGTGTAGGCTGCGTCTTTAACTTAAGTCGCGTCTACTGATATTTCTCCATGGGCCGAAAGTGGTGAAATAGTCCCCTCTCTCTCCCCGGGGCCCTATTACTTCAGCAGGGGGGCGGGCAGACCGGGGACTGTTTCATAATACATAGGAATCTCCTGCACGTTTCCACAAAAAGTCCCCTCTCCGTCTTCCTGCTGAACAGGGCAAGACTGGTAGCTCTATGGACTAAGGATGCCACGACCCACTGAAGATGTGATTGCGACCCACTTTTGGGTCGCAACACACTAGTTGAGAACCAAGGATCTAAGAGAATGAAATCTGTGGAAGAAATTTAAAACACTTGTTCTGGTGACAACTGTCTACGAGAGATCTGGGCCCAAAACGGGACTCTAACTTCTAAAATGCTGCGCTGTTTGAAATAATAAATTGCCTGTCCAAAAAAAAAAAAGTCACAGACTCTAATATTTCTTTGAACCACCTTTAGCTTTGATTATGACACGCATTCACTGTGGCATTGTCTCAATAAGCTTATGCAATGTCACAATATTTATTTCCATCTGGAGTTGTATTAATGTTTCACCATTGTCATCTTGGAATATGGCCAATGTGCCATCAGGAAAGAAAAAAATCCATTGATGGAAGAACCTGGTCATTCAGTATGTTCAGGTAGGGAGCTGACCTCATTTTTTGGGGACATAACATTGATCTATTATCAAATGGAAGGCTCTGACCTATTTTTTGGGGGACAGGCATCGCATATTTCCTTTGGTAGCTGAAACTTGAAACATTGTACAATGCTTGTGTTTTTCACTGAAGTAACTTTGTACCTAGGAAGGTCGCTAATGGGGCCAAGACTGCTGATCTTTGAGATGCCTACAATGCCTCCCTCTATTAATAAAACATCTGTGGTGCCGAGGTTTCCCTTTAATCCCTTTACACTATTTAGAACATTGTTCTAGATACAAATACTTCAGAGAGAAAAGGTTTCAGTTCTTCATTTATGAGGACCGGTTCCCACACTCTGATGAAGACACTTGGAACACGGAGAAGAGAAAAGCCAACTTTTGTGTAGGAAGGAATGTAAGACGATAGCACATTTATAAGAAAGTGAGTGAATGGGGGCAGAAACTGGAGAGCTGGATGACAAGGCAGATGCTTGACTGGCTTGGGAGCTTTCTCTGAAGAATGAACTTTTCCAGTTAAAGGTTTTCCCACAACATAAATCGCAAAGGACAGACAAATTGCCCACCTCAATCCTGCCAACTAGAGGGACCTATTGAAAGCAGAGGTCTTATTTGCATACATTAGTAAATATAAATGGAAGGTGAACCATCAATATCCAGGAATCTGTGCAAATATTATTCTTACTGTATGCAAATCTTGAGGCACACATTCTAAAATGTAAGGGAGTGACCACATAAAAATCAAAAAGTGTGGTTCCGTCGTTTACATCGAAGTCCTCCCTTCAAATAAAGAGCCCCCCCTTCACATCAAAGCTCCCCTTTCACATCAGAATTCTCCCTTTCACATCAGAGTGCCCGTTTACATCAGTAGCCCCCATTCACAAGACCCCTCATTTTACATGAGCACCCCTCCTTTCACATCAGTAGCTCTTCTTTACCTCAGAAGCACCCCTTCACATTAGAAGCCCTCTTTACATCAGGTACCCCCTTTTATGTCAGCATCCTCCCTCTGACATCAGAAACCCCCTTTATATCAGAGCCCTCTTTTCATATCAGAATGCCTCCTTTTACATCAGAGTTCCCCATTCACATACTAACATCACAGAATTTCGAGGCACCCTGAGGAAGCCAGAAGCCTGAGAAAGCCCTGGATGAGAATGCATGCTCTAACCTAGGGGGTTTACCATTGCTGGGATCAGTGTGAACTGTCTTACCTGTAAAACATTATGGCATGGTCATCCAATCCTGTGATTCCCTGCCATGCAGCACAGCCAAATCAGTGACCTCACTTTTGCAGCTTGGTCACTACCCTGAACCCCAACCTAGCAATAGGATGGTGCAGGAGTATCATCCCCACTTTGATGAAGTCATTATCTTCATCATGCTTCTTTTCCTGTCTGCAATGTTCCACTGCTAGATGGACTGCGCTGTACAATTGCAGAAATCTGTTATAAGGACAGATTTCAGGATGTTGCGTTAAATAGTTCAGTGCGGGACTGAGTTTGGGGACAGAGGAGTATTATCGATGGGTGTTCTAGTCCAGCCCTGCGTTCTCCATTCAAATGCATTTTAAATTGCGTTTAAAGGGAACATGAAGCATTTGACAAAAAAGGCTGTGTTTGACCTGCTTTGTCTGCAACTCAAACACATATTATTAGGACATGCTGTTACCAAAGAGATGCATACAGTGCTGGATTTCCCACAAGGCCAACCGAGGCCCGGCCTTGGGGCAGCAGGGAGTAGAGGGGCAGCAGGAGTGTGGAATTCCTATTTTCAGATGCCCAGGACATGCAGTTCCTGGCGCCGGGCGGGTAGTTGTTTTCTACATTTAGCCCTGTTTTGGGCAAGCAGAGCTCAATGTAGAGCGGGGAAGCCGCCGCTTGTTTTGTACTAGTGATCCCGGCGATGTCGCTGAGATCACTTGTATGCAGCCTGCAGGTCTGCCATTCTCCATGGGGGGGTGGGGGGGGGGGGAAGCAGAGAGAGGAAATCCGGCCCTGGATGAGGCACAATGCAAAATGACTGCCTTTGAACTGTCATGTGTACTGCTCCATTACAGTAAATGGGATTTTGCTAGCCAGTGTTTGAAGTGTGTTTGAGGGGAAAATCCAAAATTATGAATTATCACCAGAACAGGAATAGAGGGGAAATCCTCCAATTTAAAACACTTGTTCTGGTGACAACTGTCTACGAGGAAGCTTTCCCTACTCTATCCAATGGTGTTTTAATATTACCAACTTGCTCGAAATTCCTTAGTTGAAGGCAAAGATTAGCAGGAATGTTCCTCAGCCCCCTATAGGGTACAGCAACACGTGAGAAGTCCACCATGTCTGACAAAGAACGATTGGATTGCATTTTCTTGAAGGCTTCATCATTGACAGTGATTACCATGTGCCAAAAAATGGTTTAAAATTAATTTCAGTACAGCGTTGCAAGACGGAATAAATGTCAGTCAAAGTACCGCAGCGCTGAATACTGAAAAATGGCCTGGACAAGAAGAGGGTTTTAACAGCCCAGTCAGCAAGTAGTTAAAGGAGAACTATGGGGTTAGGGCTTTTCCCCATAGTTCTAAGGGTAACGGGAGGACACAAACTAGCGTCCTCCCTTCACCCTAAGCTCAGTATACCGCGAGCTACAGCTCATGGTATACTGAGACGCCGCAGCTGAAGCGGATCCCGACAATTATGTCTGGATCCGCCCAGCTGCGTGATTGACAGCTGGCTCTGCCTATCTAGAGGCAGAGCCAGCTGTACCCGCCCCCTCCCCCATCCGTTCCGTCAGTCAGCGCTGGAGGATCGGAGCGTGGAGGGGGGAATCCAGCCCCTCCCCTGTCACAGCAGAGAGCCATGACAGGATCGAGAGGTGAGCGAACGCCTGTATGTGTTCGCTCACTTCCCGATCTACTGAGCCGACCTGTGACAGTCTCATTGTCACAGGTCGGCTAGAACTATGAGGTGAGTGAAAAGCACTCACCTCATAGTTCTCCTTTAAGCATGAAAAATAAGTGTAAAAACTGAAACGGTAAACAAGCAAAACAAGAAAACAATTTAAACATTTAATTGTTTATTACAAAATAAAATATTGCAGTTTATTTTCATTTCATATCTCAAAACTTCTCTTTAGCTACAAAATAAGGTCGATTATAAATTAACTATTTTAAGAAGGACGTCTTGAATTAAGGAATAAAACATCTATATTTATGAAATATAATAATGTCTAGTACAATTTTTTACTATCACACAGGATGTAATATAAACCCGACATGAAAATTGTATTTGTACACAAACAGCCATTGGCGCTATATAAATCCTGTATAATAATAATAATAATAATAATAATAATTGGCTGTATTGTGACCATAATTAAATATTGTATGGCGTCCATATTCCAGCACACTCATGCCCCTACCCACTCACAAATACACCCATCCCAAAGAGTAAGCAATTACTTGTTTCTTGCAAACATTCATTTACAATAAATACATTGCAGTCGATACATGATTTACAGTCGATCCAAAATGAGCATTGTTGCGTTTCATTTACTGAAAATTCCCACTCTCCACAAAATGATCAACCCAAATGCTATTAACGTACACCTAAACTCAAGAACAATATATTGCAGCTTACCCATCCTTAGATGTGGTGACTGCATTAGTTTTCTTTATTTCAGGCTGTGTATATTTGCTGTACGTACAGAAATCTTTTTTATTGGTCCTTCCAGAAATGTAGTGTCCTTGTAAATTCATGTCTGTGAAGGTTCTCATTCATCCAGGTCATGGTATATCAGTAAAAAATAAGTCAAGGCAACTGGACTTGCTGTGTTTTTCTTGCTGGACTTTGCTGGACTTGCTGTACCGGTGAAACATCTTCAAGAAAAATACAGCAAGTCCAGTTGCCTTGACTTATTTTTTACTTGTAAATTCATGTGCACCTAACTGAAATCTCAAACAATGATATCAGCCTTCCGAGCTGCTTTCTGTGAACTAGAGAACACCGCCTCCTTTGATATGGCAATTAGGAGAGAGATAGATGTTCAGTAGTCCTAAGGTAACAACACTGCACCTCCATAGATACAGTACAATGTGTAAGTGTTATTTCCCTAGGACAGGAAGTGTGTTACTGGCCAGATCGCCAGGTTAAAAAAGAAAACGAATGCAGCCACTACATCTCAGCAAGGTATTACATGTTTTACTTGGGTTTACAAAAAAGGTCCCATTTTACAAACAAAATCTTCTGGGCTCCAGCAATTCTGTGTGTCAAAACACAGGTGGATGGTATCTAATAAATATGGCTTGACTATTTACATCCTGGTGATTACAGTTGGGCTAAGGCTGGGGACTGGGGATGATGAATTGGTAGGACTATAGGTTAAGTTATTGTCTGCAGCATTACTGTTCGTGACAGTGCTCCAGTTAGTGTCTCTTACATAGGTTGAGAACTTACTTTTAACTTTTGTGAGCCCATTTCTAGGAAGAATATTCCTTCGAACAGACTGTCCAGCAAGAAAGTACAAGATGGGATCTAGACAGCTGTTAACGCTAGCCAGCGGTCTTGTCACCTTGTAGGCTATGTTGATGGCATCCAACACACTACAGTCAAGGTCTAACTTTCTAAAGTAATAGTACAAGGTTCTGTTCACATGAAAGGGTAAAAAGCAGATGATGAACACCAGCAGCACAATGATGATCATCTTAATTGACTTCTTCTTGGAGTTTGAGGTGTCAGAAGAAGATGCTGAGGGCTGCATGAGGGTTCGAGTCATCAAAGCGTAGCAGATGAGGATGGTAACAAATGGAACACAGAAGAGTAAAGCCAAGCTGACCGAACTGTAGATAACAAAAGTGTCAAACAAATCCGGCCTAGAGGTGTCATGGCAGATGGTGTGCTCTCCATTTTTGCTTGTGGTCACAAAGTACAAAATTGGACACTGAAAAGCCACAATGAAGAGCCAGACCACGACGCATATAATCCGGGCATTTCGGACCTTTAACCAAACCAGCGACTTCATCGGGAAGCAGATGCCAATGAATCGGTGGATACTGATGCAAAGCAAGAATAAGATGCTGCAGTACAAGTTGGTGTAGAAGAGAAATCTGACGATTTTGCACATAGCGACACCAAATGGCCAGTCGTCGCCCTGGGAATAGTAGTAGATCAGCAGCGGCAGTGAGATGACATACATCATGTCCGAGATGGCCAGGTTAAACATGTACGTGGTGGAAGCATTCCATGGCTTTATCCGGAACAGAAAGATGTAAAGGGCCAGGATGTTGAGAACAAATCCCACGCAAAACACAATCCCGTAGGACACCGGAAGCAGAAGATATTTGAAGTCTTCATCAAATGTACACCTGTAGGTGGAGTTCTCATTTTCTGTGCTATTCATTGTTCATTCACAATGCTGTTGACCTGTTCAAAGAAAAACACACAAAAATGAGCCACAATGAAGACAAAACGAAAAGTTCATCACCATTGTAAAGAAACTAGCATGTATGTTTTCAAATTGGATGTGATCAGTGTATATACATATGAGTTCTTCCTAACCCTGGCCATACAAGTAGCAGTTTGATAATATGAAACCAACTTTTGCATTCTACCCTGTTTCCCTGAAAATAAGACCTACCCCGAAAATAAGACCTAGTACTATTTTTGGGAATTGCTCAAATATAAGACCTACCCCGAAAATAAGACCTAGTACTATTTTTGGGAATTGCTCAAATATAAGACCTACCCCGAAAATAAGACCTAGTACTATTTTTGGGAATTGCTCAAATATAAGACCTACCCCGAAAATAAGACCTAGTACTATTTTTGGGAATTGCTCAAATATAAGACCTACCCCGAAAATAAGACCTAGTACTATTTTTGGGAATTGCTCAAATATAAGACCTACCCCGAAAATAAGACCTAGTACTATTTTTGGGAATTGCTCAAATATAAGACCTACCCCGAAAATAAGACCTAGTACTATTTTTGGGAATTGCTCAAATATAAGACCTACCCCGAAAATAAGACCTAGTGTGTTTTTTTGAACCAAAAAAAATATAAGACAGTGTCTTATTTTCGGGGAAACACGGTATTTTTTGTCAAATCACAACTGACGACATAAAATGATGGTGTAGCCCCCATCACCTTCTGTGATGTGGCTACTAGACATTTAGTGATAGCCAGGGCTGTAGTCAGCCTGGCTGGATTATAGTGGCAATTATCTGGTTATTTCCAGGTGTCTGGCATTGTCTATACCCCCCGAGGCGGAGTGTCACTCTGCTGTATTGTGGGACAGCCAATGAGAGGCTCGGTAGTGTATGTACAGTACAGCAGCCAATCACTGTGTTTCTCTCAACCAGTGGTGCATGCTGGGATAGGATACATATACTGAAGGGATTTGCCATGCGCTCAGACTAGCCAGGACCAGCCATGGATTAGCATAGGCCTGGGTGCTGTCCAGCCACCCCCCAGGCTAGGCCTAAGGCCTGGGGGTGGGCATAGGCTGTGGTGTGAAATGTTTCCCTGAAGCCTCTAACATGGAGGAGGTCTATGTTGCTGTCAGAGGAAGAGACCTAGGACCAATGATGGCTCTTGAAGTTTCCTGGAACCTAAGGACTTCGGGAGCATGGGCGGTGTCTTTCCTGTTGAGGATCTATATCCATCCTTGCTCATCTGCTAGTTCAGTTGCTGTCCGCTGCCTCCCAAGTGGATCTACACTAATATGCCAAACGTGTCTGGTGAGTCTGGAATCTTTGTCTTTTACACTCTGGAAGCTTAGGACCCCTATACCCTCTCTCCCCAGTAAAGATGATCAATAAAACGTTATTCTGCATTATACTACTGGAGTGGACATCAGCTTTTGTGGGCACTAGAAGAAGGGCAGTTAATGCTAATGGGCGGGCAGCTGAAGATCATACCCTAGACAGACTAGAGATGAACCGGGCATTCAGCAGCTCCTTCGGGGGTGATCGCTACAATGGATTTGATTAACCACATGGAGATGGGATCGAAATTGCTCCATTCAAATCTGGCAGTGAAATCCAAATGGTTTTGACAAAATTGCTAAAGCTTTTTTTCCAAGTATGATTTGATCATTCAGTTCAATTTATTTCCCAGTTTTGACTACACAATTGACCGATTTCCAGCTTGGTTCCTCCTCTGGCTATGAATTGTAATCTTATGTGCCATTCCTGGGTTGATGGAACTTGGTTGACTAAGAATTGTCAGGTATATGGCCAGCTTTAAAAACAAGGTTCAGGTCCAAAATCAGGATTATATAAAATAAAATAAAGAACAGTGTAACTAACCGAACACCATAAACTAACACTATAGTATGAAATTAAAATGAACAATCATCAAAAAGTTCATTTCAACAACAAAAAAAATCAATTGTAATGCTGATTGTATGTTTGAGTTGCAGGTTGCGAGAAAGATCTGATAGTGAATCGCTGAATTAGCTGTAAAATCACCCCAACTACAAGGTCAAAAAACAACACGACATAGCACAACCATCACCAATCGCAAACATTATGACTGCTGTAAAATGTATTGCTTTGTCTTATCACATGTTAAAAACATGTTACAATGGCAGCTTATCACACAATAAAAGCACTATAAAATGGCAGCTTTTCTACTGTTAGGCTGTTCACATATGTGCTTGTGCTTGTTCTTGCCCTGAATGCACAGAGTAGCAATACAGGTGAAGCAAGCAATAAGGAATTATGCTGCAATTCACATCCTATGTATTGCTATGTTTATTTTATAGCCAACGTTTGACAAACTCTTTGGCATTCCACAGAAAACATTGAGCCCTCGTTCACACCTGAACGTTTTGTAGCGCGTTCTACGCTCGATGAACGCTCTACAAAACGCTCAAAAATATAAATCCCATTGTATTCAATGGTCTCGTTCCCACCTTGGCGTATTTCCGCCCGTCCCTAACGCGCTACAAAAACGGCCCACGCCTGAAAAGGTACAGGTACTACTTTGGGCCGTTTTGTTGCGCGTTTCCATTGGGATACAGCCAAGTAGCCTTCGACAGACGCGCATATGCAATACGCCTAGGTGTGAACGAGACCTTAACCATTTATATTAGTTCCGCCCCAGAGGAACTTGCCATCTGCTGCCTCCAGCACAGTCAAACATGTTTTTTTAAATAAATAATATAGCTCATACATATACTGATGTCAGGTGTAACGCATTATGGCTTCCCCATTATGGGGATGCCCCTGTTCACAGTAAATATGCCTGGAATGATTGTGTCATTGCAGGGATAGTAGGCACTTCTTTTAATAGGCACAGCAGGTATGTAGACCCAGAAACTGCAGAGATTTCACTGAGAGAGTCCCAGAGATGGAGGAAACTAGGTGGTGCTGAGGAAGGGTTTTAACATCAGTTTTCTATAAAGTTAAAACTTTCTCATTACTGTAGGTCCTCTTTAAAGCGTACCTCTGGCCTCTTAAAAATGCCCTAATAATTTAATTCTAACAAGAACGTGCTCTGTTCTGCCCTCTCCCTCCACAGTGCCTCCCTGTTGTTCCCTAAATGTGATTGGTGGGCTTAGTGCCAATAAAGAGGCATAGGATCCGGAGAGTAGATCGGAGGGTGACTCAAAGGTTTGGTTGGAATTTGCTTATAGCTGAACTCCAGGACAGATAGAGAAGACATACATTAGTGCAGCTCTGTATTTAAATTTACATCATTAAAGGTATTTTTTTTTTTTTAAATACAGGCGATTGACTTGTGCCTCAATTTGACTTGGCGTCAATCTTTTTGCAATCCCCTTTACAGCAAAGTCCAGACTAGAAGAGGGAAACGCATCACAAAGACCCAATTACAGTAGTTGAAGTGCAGAGCTTATGTGCTAATGAAGGATATGCTGATAGGAGGACATGCTGATAGGAGGAGAGAACACAATGGCAGGGGGATCGGCTCATAGGTGTGCTATCTCTCATTTCACTGTCCAGTTACAGGTTACAGGCTGGGGGAGGGACAAGACCTGTAAGTGTAACCTAACTGCATCAGAGAAAGATCAGGTCTTGTGCTCGCCTGACACACTTGTGCTGTCTATGTAAAATTATTCAGAGATAATATTCTGTTATCGCAGAAAAACTTTTTTTTCCCAACACAGTTACCTTTGCACGCCGATTTAATGGAACTATTGCCTCATCCTCAGACTTTGTCAGTTCACCTTATCTAAGCTATGATCTCAACAATAAACTCAATGGCCCTGATGTCTTACACAAGATATACTCATTCTCCATTTCTTATATATTTACATGAAGGCAGAGCACATTCATCAGCTGGCCCCACACCAGTAGAATCTGGTTCAAACAAATTCAGTTTCGGAATTTATATTCAATTTTTAGATTAGTTAATGGGATCAAATGAACAATCGTTTACAACCGCAGTGACATTCTAAAACTGAATGTGGTTTCCATTTGGGAAATCCCATTCATTCTCAAACTGGATCTTCAAATCAAATGAAATTTTGAAGGACTTCGTCAAATCTCTGATGGCATTATCGAATGTTCTGACCAGGTTTCCATATGAATGGTCATACAATAATACACATTGCCAAAAGTATTGGGACGCCGGCCTTTACACGCACATGAATTTTAATGGTAACCCAGTCTTAGTCCATAGGGTTCAGTATTGGGTTGGTTCTGCCCTTTGCCGCTATAACAGCTTCAACTCTTCTGGGAAGGTGTCCACAAGGTTTAGGAGTGCGTCTACAGGAATGTTGGACGAGAAGGCCTGACTCTCCTGGCAACCTCTAAACCCAGACAGGTCCATCAGATTGCCAGACAGAGAAGCGTGATTCGTCACTCCAGAGAACACTTCTCCAAGCTCACTCCCGTGATGGACTACAATCTCATGTTTAGTTTACTAATTTGTATTGTGATTGTAGTCCATCACAGGAGTGAGCTTGGAGTGGTTCTTTACAACACACACCGGGACCATGGGGAACAAAAGTAGCCCCGTTCCAGAAGGAAGGACAGTGTCAGCACCAATTCAGAGATGATTGGAGGATCTACAGCCGAGTGATACACAAATACGATTTATTTTTGTTAATAGTTAAGGTACTTGAAAGCATTTTAAGATTTAACCCCTGAAATAGCACACTTTATGCGAGTTGGTGCATTATGGCGCTATTCATTTTGAATTTTAATCCAATGCACCTCTGCAACCTAGCAAGCTGTAGATATATGCCCCATAATTAAAAAAAATAAAAAACTAGGCAAATACCTAATTGCTTACCTGGCTGAAGCAGTCCCGTCTCCCAAACGGCTGTGAAGAAGTGTGCGGGCGCATGCGCAGTAGAGTGGAGGGGAGGGAAAATTAAATTAAATGGATGTAGGCGGGCAGCCGGGAGCATGCACGTTGGGCAGACACCGTGGGACCAAAGGAGTCTGCAGTGG